GCAGGACCTCTGTGGACCCCCTAGGGGTCACGGACCCCCTGTTGAGGACCTCAAATCTAGAAGATTAATACATTTTAATCTTTAAAAGTGATTGGAAGACATTTTAAAAACCAGTCCATAAATAAAAATTGACTTCAGCTCGTGCAATTTTGAAATTTAATTTAAAAATAATCCTTTAAAAGGAAAGTTTTAAGCCTAGCCTTAAAAGTAGACAGGGTGTCTGCCTCACGGACTAAAACTGGTAGTTGGTTCCACAGGAGAGGAGCCTGAGAACTAAAAGATCTGCCTCCCATTCTACCTTACTGGGCCTTTTGGACTGGTTTTGCATGGTTTACCTGGTCATGCTGTAGTATTGGAGCAAACTCTGTCTTCAGTTTGTTCAGGTGTTTACGAGGTCTGCAGCAACTGTTGACGGCCAGCGAGGAGGAAGGTTCCAGCTTCTTGATGGCAGCATCAGTGGAGAATTCACAGAGCTGGTGAGGTCACGCTTTCTCAGATGATCTTACTTCGCCGTGTGAAGGTAACCAGATCATTGCCCTCTGAAGGTACCAGACCAGAGGATAAAGATGCGCTGGCGTTTCAGAACATGGCCCAGTGGTGAGTGTTTGAGTTTTGACTGTTGCATCTTGGTCTATTCCAACATCTGAGCGCATGGTTCCTCCTTCAGAGCACTATGCCACCATCATTCTGGACCTGCTGGATCGAGGAGATGAGACGGAGCTGAAGTTGGAGTGCCAAGAAGTTCCTGCAGGAGAAGAGGAGCCCACCAGGGAGGGCTGGAGTCGCTTTTACTTCCAGGCCATTAAACAAACATTTGGATACTGAAGGAGACTCTGATCTCTGAAGAACATCTAAGGGGTTAAAATGCAAACCAACATTTTACTGTTAATATTCTCTGGATGAAGAAATATTTAAACAGAAGGAAATGCTTTGATGAAATCTCCTGCTGCTGGTTTCTGTCCAAGGTGGTTCCAGGAAGTGGGAACCCTGGATGGGAAACTTCTGCTGGAAGTCAGACTGAAGAGAAGAGGTCCATCATGTCTGACTGTTTGCTCTAATCCAGCTCTTCGTTTCAGGACCCTGAATGCAGCCTGTTTTCTTTGCTAGCTGGATTCACAATTGTTTTCAGCAAATGTGTAAAGATGTGGGGAAAAGTAGCCGGGCTGCAGGAAGCATGGATAACATCCACTATCCTGCAAGATGTGCCTTTGGTCCAACACACCTGAATCTAACCGTTAGATGATTTAGAGGATTCTGCTAACTGAGGAGGTAACTCTGCCGTTTGATGCAGGTCTGTTGGACCAAGGATGGATCTGAAAGTTGCAGGAGGCCGACTCCCAGAAACTGGAATTGCTTTAATTCCCAGCATATTTGCAGATTGCTGAACCAGAAATGTTTTTATCAAAACTGTCCTAAAAATGTCTGCTGCAGATCTGTGATCACCGACGTTTCTGAAGCTTTTAGGTTTCATTGCTCCCCAATCATTTATGCATTCTGTGTTTAATGCGTCTTATGTTTCATTTAACTGGTGACCCCAAAATGAATTAACCGGACTAAATGACTGCAGGCAGATTGGTTAGAAATGAGACCCTTTTTCTTCTGCTTGTTATTATTAAACTTTTGATCAAGAAACTGAATGAAATATTTAGATTTTGAGTTGTTTGAAAATGATCTTTCTGCTTTTCAACTGTAAGAACCATTAAAACTGAACATAGATGTTTGAAATATTTATTGAACCACAATTTTTCTCCGTAAATATATTTCTAGAGATGCTATTGACATTTTTACCAAGTGTCCCCATTTCACCCAGAAATCTGTCAGGAATTAGAAAGCAATCCGTGCCAATTAAGATTAGCTGGTTCAGTCCCAGATTATGGCCAATGGGAAGGTGTCTCTGGATTTAAAACATCTCACGATGGTTAAAAGTAAAGATCTTTCCAACCTTAACGATGCCGTGGTTCCACAAGGTTTTCTAAACTTCTGAGTGATCCAGTGAGATCTGTTGTTGTTCTAGTTGTTCTATTTCTAGATTATGTTGTCATAATCTAGAAATAGAAAGAACATCATTCCATCATAAACCGACCAGGACCAGGTGCTCCTCACCAGATTTCTGACAGAGGAGTGAAAAGAATGATCAGAGTTGTCCAAGAGCCAAAGGCCGCCAGCGGAGAGCTTCAGAAAGGACGAATTGTTTCTGAGAAAACAGTCGGTAACGCAGTCAGCCGCCACGGTCTGCGGCACGCTCACCACGCACGACTCCACTGCTGAAGGAAAAGCTGCTGAAGCAACATTTAGACCAGCCTGAGAAATACTGAGAGAATATAGTCTGCTCAATAAACTCTTTAGGTGCCATAATACACATCAGGTTTGCAGGTCAAAGGGCACTGCCCCATAAACCCCATAATCACCATGGCAACAGTGAAGTTTGGAGGAGGGAGCATCATGGTGTGGGGATGTTTTCAGCGTACGGTTCTGGCAAACTTCAAATCATTGAAGGAAGAAAGGTTAGGGTTAAAATCTGCTGCCATCTACCAGGAGAGGAAACGTTGGTGGACATTTCAGCGAGACGATGAGCTCAAACACGCAGCCAGGAAACTCTCCACTGGTTTCAGAGAAAGAAATAAAGCTGCTAGAATGGCCCAGCCAATCAGCTGACTGGAATACAATAGAAAAATCTATGGCGAGAACTAAAGGTCAGAGTTCATATAGGACGCCCACAAAGTTGTCAAGATTATAAGACTGTTTGTGTGGAGGAATGGGCCAAAATCACACCTCATCAATGCATGCCACTCATTTCTCCATCCAGGAGGCGTCTGTGTCATAATCTAGGCACTGATGACAGGATTATTAGTTCCTTCCATCCACCTGCCTACCTCCACCCAGTGTTCATTACATTTCATCAGATGTTCCAGCTTTTACTGAAACTGTTTGCTCCCAGCCATCAGGGCCAGATTATTGGAGCTGTAGGTGAGAGTTCTCTAGCGTACCCAGTTTGTTACTCTGATAATCTGATCCTGAGCCTGCCCCAGTTCTGATCTGTTTGCCTGACCTGTCTTCGGATTCCTGCTGGATTCCGTCTGCTTTCGACCTTGGATCTGTTTCCTGACCCCGGCTTGGATTTCCCTTCCGTACCTCTTCAGGTCTCTGATCTTCTGGCCTGTTTACCTCATCAACACAGTCTTTGGCTTCTCCTTCCGGTAACTCCTGCTGTTCCTCGTCTGCTGGCTGTTGCTCGTTGGTCGGCTCTTCAGCCATCTTGGATCCTGGAACTCTCTGGGCGGCACAGAGCATGATGTGGAAACTCATCTAACTGGATTCCACTCCTTCCTCTGGGCTCGAACTGAACTTTATAACGAGGTTAGTGACTCACATGCTGGTCATCGTTCCCCGTCAGAGCTACGCGGTCACTAACCTGAGTTCCTCCCTCCTCAGGGATTCCGGCTCTTTAGTCCTGCTGCTGACCTGCGGATTTTCCAAGACTTTAATGAATCCCTCCAGTCTGTCTCCCTGAATTCTGGGTCCATCTTTCTGAGTTCTGACAGTCTGGAAGCTTTCATTGAAAACAACGACTTTTATAAAACTAATTAAATACATTTCCAGTGAACATGTTCAATGGCTTTTCCCTGTGCAGTTTCACTTTATTACAAATAACTTCATTTCTTTACATCTATGGTGATGTGCCATCTGCCATGATCATGGTTTTTGGACATAGGGGACCAGTGTCCATATTTCATCTTGACATGATGACCAGTTGATGACCATGAAGATGCAGTTTTGGAGATTAAACAGCTGTAAGAACCTGCTTGGTTCTGTTATCCTACTTTGCTCCTTGTTTTCTAGTTATTATTGGTTTAATTCCTACTTTGTTGTCATTTCTAGATTTATGTCCTCTGTTGCCGTCTCGTGTGTGTTTTCCTTTCCCCTTGGCTCCCTGGTTGTCTCCTCTCACACCTGCTCCTTCTCAGCTCGTTAGCCCTCCCTTTGTCTCAGTCAGCTTTAAATGCTCTCCCTCTGCTCTCACTCTTTATTGGTTCCTTGTTGCTGGTCCTGTCGTCGCCGTCGTCCTCTCACCTCGTCTCTCCCTGGCTCCTTGTGCTTGTTTCCCTTGATGTCTCCATGATTCTGGTCTGAGTTAAATTTTAGTTGGATTTTTCCTCTGTTATCAGTGTTTTCATTAAAACTACAAGAATTCACCTCAGCCTCTCTGCCTCTGCATTGTGGGTCCTCTT